GTCCAGTCCCCTGCCTTCAAAGCAGGACCAAGTACCACCCCTGACAAATTTTGCCCCCAATGGCCTCCATGAGGACTGAACTTACAACCCTAGATTTACCAGACCAATGCTCAAACCACTGAGCTATCCCTCCCCCATTAGTAAACCATTGTTTCTTGGCAATACAGGGTGGAACATGGGATAGTTGAGGTAGTAACTGGGTACTGGAAGAGACCTTGAGAGGTTATCAAGTCCACTCCCCTGCCCTCACGGCAGGACCCAATGGCCTCCATGAGGACTGAACTTACAACCCTAGATTTACCAGACCAATGCTCAAACCACTGAGTTATACCGCCTTCCAAGCAGCATGGCTACGTCTAGACTGGCATGATTTTCCGGAAATGCTTTTAACGGAAAAGTTTTCCGTTAAAAGAATTTTCGGAAAAGAGCATCTAGATTGGCATGGATGCTTTTCCATAAAAGCACTTTTTGCGAAAAAGCATCCATGGCCAATCTAGATGCGCTTTTGTGCAAAAAAGCCCCGATCGCCATTTTTGCGATCGGGGCTTTTTTGCGCAAAACAAATCTCTGCTGTCTACACTGGCCCTCTTGCACAAAAGTTTTGCGCAAAAGGGACTTTTGCCCGAATGTGAGCAGCATAGTATTTCCGCAAAAAGCACTGATTTCTTATAGTAGGAAGTCAGTGCTTTTGCGGAAATTCAAGCGGCCAGTGTAGACAGCTGGCAAGTTTTTCTGGAAAAGCGGCTGATTTTCCGGAAAAACTGGCCAGTTTAGACACAGCCAATGAATACTGTAAGTGAGTGACCCATCTGGGGCAATAGAGTCCACCCTAGGCCATGGATCTGAGGAATCAGATCCAGAAGGTTTAAGGGCTGGGCCCAGATTATGGTGGATAGCAGCTTTGTGGGTCAGACAAGCTCAGATAAGCCGGGTCTTATCTGACATTGCAGAGAGAGCCCCGTTCTGCTTTAATAACCAGCTTCTGTCTGGATATTTCTCAGCCATTGCTGAGAGCTGTCAAGTATCACTGGTTCTTGTGTTCCTCTGGAGCACAGCAGAAAGCCGTGTGGTTCTCTTTGATGTAGTACCCAGTGGAAATACAGGTGGCTTCACTTTACTTTTTAAAACATACTCCTTCCAATCTTGGGTTGGGGAGTGTGGAGAGGAAAAGGAATGTCAGTTTGGGTGCCAGCACAACTTGGAGTAGCTCAAGGGTGCTTTCATATGTACATTGATGTAATGGTCCTTAAAGGACCCTTCTGGATGCCAAGTATTCCTGAAGTACAGTACCACTCTATCCATTCCTCTTTCTCCTGGCAATACCTTAGTTTGGTTACAAAACATGTTTACGACACATTCAAATTTCTGTTATGATTTCTATGGTTGATAATATTTGCACTTTGATTTTACCATCACTTTTCCCAAGGTGATTAAAATGAAACACCTACATCTTTCTTTTCTAATGCACATGCGTTGTCCAAGTTTATACATCTGCCATAGTATTTCTGAAGGGAGGTGTTTACAATTCCATGTTCTTTGTCCATTCCAGTATGACAAGCTGATAACCCTTATACTACAGTACAGCAATTTCCTCTGAACTTTGTTCTTTCTATGAATGAGGAAATAAACTTACATTTATTTCAGACTAAACTCTAACTTTATTCAAATAAGAATTTATAATTATATAATCACTCATGTACTTAAAGAGATTCTGTTTTCTGTGAATAAATAGGAACAAATTCTGGTCACTGTCACAACAATGTAGCTCGCACTTAAATATGTTAGCAAAGATCTTACACTTATAATATTCCTTTCATGCCACACAGGTTCACATAGCACTTACGCTGACATGCAATCTATAAAGAGGGAACATTTATTCAGACTAAGGGTACGTCTAGACGACAGGCTTTTGTCGACAGAAGTTTTGTCGACAGACACTGTCGACAAAACTTCTGTCGACAAAGAGCGTCTACACTACATTCAGTTCTGTCGACAAAGCAAGCTGCTTTGTCGACATGGCAGTGTAAACACAAAGGACAGTTTACATGCAATAACACCTTCTGTCAACAGAAACTCTGCCGACAGAAGGCGTTATGCCTCGTAAAATGAGGTTTACCAGCGTCGACAAAACTGCTGAGTTCTGTCGATGTTATGTCGACAGAACTCAGTAGTAGTGTAGACGCAGGTATAGTTTTGTCGACAAAAGTCCACTTTTGTCGACAAAACTCTGTAGTCTAAACACACCCTGAAATGCAGCCATAGCTTTAGCTGCAATCAAAGACACTATAGTGGTCTGACTGGATCACAAAACAAATTCAAATTGATTGGAAAACTTCTAGACTGTGTTTGTTTTCTAAATTTATGGAATTTAGTCTATGTAGAAAAAGAAAAATCTATAGTTTACAGGAAAAAATCAGCAGCTATTCAGAAATACAGTTACTTTGGCCACATGATATAATCTGCTATAACCGGGAAAGAGGAGTGAGAGAATTATCCTGACTTGGTAGAGACTCTTTGGTATGCTGAAAAATCTCTTGAAGGGCAAATTCCGTCAATTAAAAAAATTGTAGAGATGTACATGCTGCTGCAAACCAAAAAACTACATACATGGAAAGATGTATACTTGGTATGAATTAAAAAAGACAGGAAACTAATTAAGTTTGAGAAAAAGTTAATTGCTTCTTGTCAGTAAGGAAACATAGATGTTGGATTGTCTTATTGTCCATTTTCTCCCCCAACCTCCTGACTAGACACATTTGCCCCTTTCATACACATCCTCCTCTACTGAGCCCTGAGTTATCTTGCCAAGACTTTGGCTGCTCTCCCCTCATTGAATCCTAGAACTGGAAGGGACCTTGAAAGGTCATCAAGTCCAGTTCCCTGCCCTCACGGCAGGACCAAGCACCATCTAGACCATTCTTAATAGATGTCTATCCAACCTGCTCTTAAATATCTCCAGAGATGGAGATGGCACAACCTCTCTAGGAAATTTATTCCGGGGTTTAACCACCATGAGAGATTGTTTTTTCTGATGTCCAATCTAAACATCCCTTCCTGCAGTTTTAGCCCGTTGCTTCTTGTCCTATCCTCAGAGGCCAAGGAGAACAATTTTTCTCCCTCCTCCTTGTGATACCATTTTAGATACTTGAAAACTGCTATCATGTCCCCTCTCAGTCTTCTCTTTTCTAAACTAAACAATCTCAATTATTTTAGTCTTCCCTCATAGGTCATGTCTTTTAGACCTTGAATCATTTTTGTTTCTCTTCTCTGGACCTTCACCAGTTTCTCCACATCTTCCTTGAAATGTGGTGCCCAGAACTGGACACAATACTCCAATTGAGGCCTAATCAGAGCAGAGTAGAGTGGAAGAATGACTTCTTGTGTCTATCTCACAATACTCCTCTTAATGCATCCCAGAATCATGTTTGCTTTTTTTTGAAACAGTATCGCACTGTTGACTCTTGTTTAACTTGTGGTCCACTATGACCCCTAGATCCCTTTCTGCAGTATTCCTTCCTAGACAATCACTTCACATTCTGTATGTGTGAAATGACTGTTCCTTCCTAAGTGGAGTCCTAAATCATCCTGTTTACCTCAGACCATTTCTCTGGTTTGTCCAGATCATTTTGAATTTTGACCCGATCCTCCAAAGTACTTGCAAACCCTCCCAGCTTGCTATCTGCCAACTTAATAAGAGTACTCTCTATGCCATCATCTAAATAAAGATATTGAACAGAACCAGCCCCCAAACAGACTCCTGTGAAACCCCACTTGTTATGCTCTTCCCGCATGATTGTGAACTGTTAATAACTACTCTCTGAGAATGGTTATCCAGCCAGTTATTCACATCTTATAGTAACCCCATCTGAGTTGTATTTCCCAAGTTTATTAATGAAATGGTTATGCAAAACTGTGTCAAATGGTTTACTAAAGTCTAGGTATACACATCCACTGCTTCTCCCTTATCCACAAGGCTTGATATCCTATCAAAGAAAGCTATCAGATTGGTTTGACATGATTTGTTCATTACAAATCCATGCTGGCTGTTACCTATCACCTTATTTTCTTCCAGATGTTTGCAGATGGATTCCTTAATTACTTGCTCCATTATCTTTCCTGGCACAGAATTTAAACGGATTGGTCGGTAGTTTCCCAGGTTGTTCTTATTTCCCTTGTATAGATGGGCACTATATTTGCCCTTTTCCAGTCATCTAGACTTTCTCCTGACTTCCATGACTTTTTAAAGATGATAGCTAAAGGATCAGATACCTCCTCTATCAGCTCCTTGTGTATTCTAGGATGCATTTCATCAGGCCCTGGTGACTTGCAGACATCTAACTTTTCTAAGTGATTTTTAACTCGTTCTTTTTTTATTTTAACTTCTAAATCTAGTTCATTTCCACTAGCATTCACTATGTTAAGCATCCCATCACCAGCCATCTTCTTGGTGAAAACCGAAACAAGGAAGTCATTAAGCACCTCTGCCATTTCCAAGTTTCCTGTTATTGCTTATCTCTCTTCACTGAACAATGAGCCTACCCTGTTCTTGTTCTTCCTCTTGCTTCTAATACTTGTAACGTTTTCTTGTTACCCATTATGTTTCTAGCTAGGTTTAGCTCATTTTGTGTCTTTGCCTTTCTAATCTTGCCTTTGTAATCATATTTAATACTCCCAACATACTGGCATGTCTCTCAATTCACTTATATTTTGACATACTCCACCCCCTAACCCAAAGAAATTATAGGAGAGAACACTGGGGAAAACCCTCCGGTCTGCCCTTCTGGGCAGAGAATGTAGAGCTGGTAAAACAGAAAGCAATTGCTCTCCTCAAATCAACTGGGTTTAGTTCCCCTCCGTCTTTTTTTCTTCTTCTTTTTCCAGTCTCAGTGACTGATCTCAGTAATCCCAACAGGCTGCTATGCCCGAGACACAGGACATGTGTACATTGTGATGCTGTTTCCCATTGTGACTATCTATCTGCTTAGGGGCTGCTAGTTTAAAAGAAAGTAGTAGGTCACAAGGATAGTTAGGGGTAGGATGTAACTAAGGCAGAGACATGGAGTAGAGGCCAAATTACCACTTTAGTGAAGGAAAGAAAGGTGGAGGAGGCGAGGAGGAAGAAACATTTGTTTCTTCCCTGCCCCAAAGTGCTTTGGAAATGGTGAATGAGAAAGAACATCTCCCAGACGCTGGCCCAGCAGTGCTCCATCTCCCTCCCTGGAAGTAACCAGTCCTCTGCCTCTGGCTCCTGCTTTCCTCAGGTCAGGCCTTGGCGCTAGCGCCATGAGCTGTTTCCGAATTCGCCCGGCAGAACCCCAGGACTGTTCTGAAATCCTGCGCCTCATCAAAGTAAGAAAGGGACAGTGGAGTGTGCAGGCACATTTTTTTTCAGTCATTGTGTTTCCAAGTTTCCTTTTTCAAGATTACTGTTATTTCCCCTCATAGGCATAAATACCAGTGAGCATCTTTATTAGCAACTACTGTTAATATGCTAACGGATAAGGTGCATAAAACAAATTAGACAGGCTGGCTCATACTGCCACAGAAGTATGAGGTGTAAGTGTAACTCTTGTACACCTCTCTGATACCCTGTTCCCCAGTTTCCTTTTTCACTGCATCTGAGCCACATGGCCACCTTTCCCCTTCATGTCTCTCTGTCAAATTCTTTGAGATGGGGTCTTCTCTCTAAATACCTACCACACTGTTGGTGCTGTATAAATAATGAAATGATTTAAGAATAAAGAATATTAAGAAATTCAGTTCTCCCAGACATATAGGCTGTAGATAATGTGTGCTTTTGTTTATATAAAACTTTGTTGAAATGTTGGCCTGAAAATCTATTTCCTAAAAATACTTTTGATGATAGTTGGGCACAGCCTGATATAATACAAGTGAATCAAAATGTGATAATTTAGAAAAGCAAGGTAAGTGATGGCATAAACCTAGGTTATATTGTAAACATATTTTGGTTCCAACTGCTTTTTATGAGTATTTTAAATAAAATGTTCATCTTTTTAGCTATGCAATCAATATTGTTAATTATGGGTATGGTATTTAAAATGATGCTGCATCTTAACTAGTCAATGAGAAATCAGAAAATAATTATGTAGCAGAAATATAGATATGGTGAAATGTGGATTCACTGTTAATTAATTAAGCACTATTATTATAGTTGATTATAAAAAGCACAGCAAACTAATATATTAGTGGTGCCCATCGTGAATCAAGTTCACAGAAAGGATTATGCCTAATCTCCTCATTTAAGTACTAATAGTCCTAAATGTATCATTTCATTTTATAATGTGAAGATAAATGCACTGTAACATTATAATATGCCTCTTTACTTAACTATTTTATATTAAATAAAGTTTTTAATCACTCATTGTATCATTCACATTCCTCCACTAAATTATATTTTCTGTAACTACCCTAGAGCCCTGAACCCTAAAGAATTCAGTTTGCTTTTATTCCTTATCTTTAAATTACTATTAGGACAGTGGTGGACAAAAATTTTATAGGGAGGGCCACTTCACCAATTTTGGTAGTGGTTCCTGGGCTAGCTCTGCCCCTGGAAGGCCTAGGCAGACGGGGCTGTTCTCTCTAGGCACCACATGCGAGGTGGTGGAGAAAAGGTGGAGGATACTTTGCATACTCTCTTACCCTCTTCCCCGCCATGCCAGGGGTGTGCGGAACCCAGACAAAACCATCAGCCATTTTAAACAGCTGGCAGTTCCCTCTAGTACCGCACGCACCTGGCAGGAGGACGAGACTTCACATGCACCCCCACACCCAAGCGCTGATTGGCCTGGAGGTGGCGGGAGGGGTGCATCAGGATGGGCCGCGGGCTGTATCAAATAGCTTGGCAAGTGGGGCTCACCAACAGTATCTTGCTCATCCCCGAAACAGGGAACATAAATCAAAAGTTCCACATGTGAGATTCAATAGTTAACAGTCTCCCAAGAAACCTCATCACTTGGCATTTTAAGATGCAGATTAAAAACCCTTTGGATGGAAAGAATTTCTTCGAGGATAGTCTATATGAGCCCCCCTGTGCTGTCAATGTCCCATGTTAATTCTGTGTGTGGAGGCAAAGTGACTCTCTGTCCCCTGCATACCACACAGACGAGCTCCATGACAGCTCTAAATTTTTCCAGAATAGAGCCTGGGCTTTGGGCATGCCTCTTGGATCCACATTTGCATGGATCAATAGACAGGACCAAATGCCAAGTGGCTTTGCACTGCAGATTGCACTGCAGCTCTGAATCTTCTTTTCCATCCTTCCTGCATTCTGCTCTCTTCCAGACCTGTTCTAAAGTTGCAGAGGGGCATCCACGTTAGTCTGTAACTAAAAAAACAACAATGGCTCTGAAGTACTTTAGAGACTAACCAAATATAGATAGATAGATAGATAGATAGATAGATAGATAGTATCATGAGCTTTCATGGGCACAATTGAGTGGGTTGTGCCCATGAAAGCTCATGATACTATCTATATCTTTTTTGGTTAGTCTCTAAGTCTACACAGCACCCTAAACTCGAAATTAGATATGTAATTTCCACTACATAAATTGTGTGTCTTATTTTGATTGAATTTCAAAATAGGCTATTTTGAAATTTGTCACATCCACACAGTGCCAAATTTCAAAATAACACTCTATTTCAAGACATCTCTTAACCCTTGTGGAACGAGGGTTCGCCAGGATGCCGAAATGGCGCACCCATTAGTTTAAAAAATATTTCAAAATAACAGGCAGCTTGTGTAGATTCGGGGTAGCTATTTTGGGATACCTCCAGTATTCTGAAATAGCTGTGCAGTGTAGACGTACCTTAAGGTGCTACAGGACCATTGTGGTTTTTTAAGTTCTTTTCCAGTACTGTTCTTTCATGGTTTAATCCTCTCTGCCTTCAGCTCCTTATATTTCTTACAAAAAATCCAAACCATAATTCTCCCTACAAGATAAGGTACTTGTTAACAAGAATGGGGGAGGTGAGAGAAATAAAACTATAATAATGGAGCTATCAGGACATAGAACCCCATGCTAAACTTTACTACTCACTCACACTACTTTTCATTATACCATGTTCCTTACAGTGGCAAGTCATGGTTGGTGCATTAAAAAGTGAGAGCATGCAAGACCCTCAACACCCTTTTTGTGCTCCTCTGGAGTCAATCATTATGGATAGCATAGATCTCTGTGGGAAAAGCTGAAGTGGGCACACAACCACATCCTGGTGCCTTCCATGACAGCTGAGTTGGCATACTGGGGATACGAAAGCTATTCCATTTAAAAAAACAGAGTAACTTCAAGTATAGTGTGTGCTACCCCAGAACCAGAGCAGCAGTCAGACAGAATTCTCAAAGTGACAACCACAGCACAATAGTCCAAATACAATCCCAACAATGTGGCCAGGGGTTCGGAGCTTCAATGGGGACCCTACTATTAATATCCCTATCAGGCCTTTAAAGAGATCCTCTTTTCTAGAAGTGATGTGTCCAAGACTTATATTGAAGAAAAAATACTGATCTTGTTCCCAAACTGGGGTCCTTCAGTTGCCATTTTAACTTTTTGAATGTATTACCTGCCTTCCCTTTCTAGTTTTTAACTGCATCTCACCTGCAAACTACATCATGGACCCACAAAACAATAAAGGGATAATAAAGTTAACATGATAGGAATGCTATAACAGTCCTCTGTGCAAGAAATATGCGCAGATTCTTGTAGGCTAACCTAATATGCTCCTACATCTGTCGGAACAGTATTGAGACTTTTATGGAGTCACCGCAAGTGCTATAGTAATATTTTCCACAGGTAATGTATTCATTACCTTCACAAATTATTCATTTCTTGATGGGCCAAGAGTCCAAGAAGAGAGTTCTAAAATTCAGGTCTTCTGCAGGGGTAGCTAAAATACTGTCATCTTCTGAAGTTAATTTTCACTAACATGGCCTCAGGTTTCTGGAAGATACTGAGCCAGCTTTCGCAACAGCAATTTTTCATAATAATTTCTAGAGTGCTGCTGGTGTAACAAGATAGCATACTACAGCCTTCACAAAATACTTAGGAATGTTCTTTATAACAACAAACAAAAAGCAACTGTAGTTGGAGCAAATTAGTGGAAATTGGGTCCCCTATATTCTGTTTCTAGCTTTACTACAAGATTACTTCAAAACCATGGGAATTTAACAACTATTATCTGCTTCCATTTATCGGTCTCACAAAGGTTGTGAAGCATCGTTAGTCAAAGGGACATCATCAGCTTAAAAAAAAGTGCCATAAAATTTTTACCATCTACATACCATACAAGAGACATGGATAAAGTGAAACCTAAAGTTACTATAAAACTGACACAAAGTATTTTCTCTGTTTTTCCAGATAATATAGCGTCAGAACCACTATTTATATATCTAGTTCTCCTGGGTTTTTTTGTCCTTCAAATAAGGGAGATTTTGTTTAACAAAAATCAAACAAACAAGCAAACAAACAAAAGAAGGAATTGTAAAATCACAAAAAATTGAAAGGGGGATTTGGGATGGGATAATCTATGAAACTACTTCTCTTCTTAAAGTTGACTAGGTTTCAAGCTGACAGCCTTGAATGATAAAAAGTTTTGCTATTCTCTGATAAACAGGTACTATGTAAGTGTAAAAGTATTATTATGGCTAGATTGTGCTCAGTTTACAAGATAAAATATGTGCTGCAAGTTTTTCCAGTTTTCGTAATGACCTAGAACATAGCAGGTACAGATAAACAATTTCTGCATACCTTACTTACAAAGCTCATTGCAGGACTGGGACCTAAGCTAACATTTTGCATCCAAGTCAAAGCTTAGAATAAACATCAATTTTTTGCATAGTACTGTGTAAAGATCACAACTAGTGACAAAACCTCAGACTCCAATTTTTTAATCCTACAGGAACTAGCTTCATATGAAAATATGCCAAATGCAGTAAAAATAACAGAAAAAGGTAAGATTTTAAGCTTGTATTTTTACTTTAAATAAACACTCCCACAGAAACCCTTACAATAAAAAGTAAAACATCAGAGATGTGAACACTAGAGTTACGAACTGACTGGTCAATCACACAGCTTATTTGGAATCAGGTAACAGAAGGGACCAAAAAATAGCAAATATAGTAATAAACAAACTGCTAAAAATAAAAGGAAAGTTTAAAAAAAGATTTGTCAAGATAAGAAAACTGTCCTGGACTTGTTGAGGTTTTTGTAACTCTGAGGTTCAACTGTATATAGAATAAGTATGTACTAGTATTTTTGAAAGGTTATGATTAATATTCCTGTTCGAGGCAACGTGTCATAGCAATTTTAGAGCATAGGACAGACAGAAAGAACTATTCCTAACTCTGGGAATCTAGGGATCATAGTGGGCCACAAGCAAAATATGAGTCAACAGTGTGATGCTGTTGCTAAAAAAGCAATCATGATTTGGGGATGCATTAGCAAGAGTCTTGAGAGCAGGATGCAAGAAGTCATTCTTCCGCTCTACTCTGCTCTGATTAGGCCTCAGTTGGAGTATTGTGTCTAGATCTGGACACCACATTTCAAGAAAGATGTGGAGAAATTGGAGAAGGTCCAGAAAAGAGCAGCAAAAATTATTCAAGGTTTAGAGAACATAACCTATGAAAGAAGACTGAAAGAACTGGGCTTGTTTAATTTGGAAAGGAGAAGACTGAGAGGGGACATGATTACGGTTTTCAAGTATCTAAAAGGGTGAAACAAGGAGGTGGGAAAAAAATGTTCTCCTTGGCCTCTGAGGATAAGACAAGAAGCAATGGACTTAAACTGCAGCAAGAGAGGTTTAGGTTGGACATTAGGAAGAACTTCTTGTCAGGGTGGTTAAACCCTGGAATACATTGCCTAGGGAGGTTGTAGAATCTCCATCTCTGGAGATATTTAAGTGCAGGTTGGGCAGACATCTATCAGGGATGGTCTAGGATATACTGGGTCCTGCCGTGAGGGCAGGGGAATGGACTCAATGATCTCCCTTCCAGTTCTAGTGTTCTACGATTCTATGGCTTTAGAGGGCTGCTTTAAAGTACACTTTTCTAGCTAATTTTTTTACAACTAACTTTTATAAAAACACGTAAGTTATAATGACCCCTACTGGAATATTACTTTTTACGTTTTTAATAAACTGATAATATTAAAGCAGTGAGGAGTCCTGTGGCACCTTATAGAATAACTGAAGTGTAGGAGCATAAGCTTTCGTGCGCAAAGACTCACTTTGTCAGATGCATGTAGTGGAAATTTCCAGAGGCAGGTATAAATATGCAGGCCAGAATCAGGCTGGAGATGATGAGGTGGATCCAATTAAGGAGGATGAGGCCCACTTCTAGTAGCTGATCTGGAGGTGTGAATTCCAAGAGAGGAGAAGCTCTTTTGCAGATTCAGACTAACATGGCTACCCCTCTGATACTGATAATATTAGAGGCCTTTATACTTTAGGTTTTTTTAACCACCAAGGTTTTTAGTTTAATTGTTTACTTGTTTTTTAATTTTGATTAGCAGAAACAGTAGCTAGCTATGACCTTGCTTCTGAAAGTCTGTTTTAAAAGTAATCCTTAACTATGCTGTGTTATTTTATTAATTCAGTGTGGCTGAACGCACATAATATGGTTGCAATTAGATTAATTACATTCTGGGGTAAACATGCCATTCTAATCCAAGGCAACAGAGTGAATAAAAAAAATTACACCGAAATTAGCCTTACTGTGCACATTGCTTTGTC